AAKKAAAAATACRCCCCCCCCCRCCTTAGCTCAAGATCTTGATCCACCACTGATTGAGGACATTTGAACTCAAACTACTAACATCCATTCCAGGAAATAAATATGGAATCAATTTTACATTAAGAGATTCTTATTTTTACTTGAGTGATTAGCCATTTGAAAGTGAAGACAATACAAAGAGGCTGTGACTCAGTCAAAGGTGAGCAGGACCACTTAACAAGATCTGCCTTGAATGGATCTTTTCAATCAAGACCTTAAGTCAGAGATCCTCTCATCCTTGAGAATCAATCACTGTAAAAAAGAGCCAGGCAAGAACAATATACACAACAGGAAAACAAGCCTGATGGGAGCTAGACATAATCCTGCTTCAATTTTTTGTTGTTGTGTCATTTCATGCCAATGTCCGGCTCTAATTGAATGGAATTCAGACTGGAGTCTGGCTGGATTCAAGCACTGTTAAAGGCTCCTGATTTACATACAGGCACATCCCTCTGCATTTCCTTGTGTAACTGTTTCAAGCCAGAGAAGCAAGGAGATACCCCTGTGAGAGGGTATTCGATCAAGCCAGTTTGTCCATAAACAGACTTTGCATATTTTGCTAATTTGCTAGTTCATTCTGTAAGATTAAATGAACGTTACTCTGTAGAAACTATTGTTGAGGAACCTGGATCAGACCTTTGGTATTGGAATACCTTTAAAGAAAGTAAAGAAGGTGCAGGGGTAAGTAACTTGATTTTTACAGCCCATTTTGTAAAAATTAGCATTACTTTAATTTATGATAACTCTGCAATTCTCTTACTCAAGATAACTTTTGTTCTCTTCATTTCACTATATTTACATTATGTAGGACCTTCAACCATGTTTTGTACCATTTCCTTTTCAGATAAATGTTTCAGTCTTTACAATGAACCATGTATTAAGCACATTTTTAATTGATGTAATTTATTAGATAAATGTTTTTCTGAATCTTTGATAATTTCAGACATCTCCCCACCCTCCAATGCACACAAACCTAGTACTTTTTTAAAATGATTTAACTTGACAATTTAAATTACTGGGAGAAAACTTGAAGTCATTTAAGGAATCAGAGATAATCAGTACCCCTAGACAGTCAGCAAAACTAAGGTTTGAGTATTGTAATTGTTAGATTGGGTTGTTTAGTGTTCATAATCCATGCTGAAAACACAGTGAAAGTTTTTGTAAAGCTTGCTTGCAGTAGTCCGTCTGATAGTGTTACGTACTTGTCTAATATATAAGCTACATAATTATGTGCACTGCCAGAAAGTTTTAGTACACTGTGTTCCTACTCAGTACAATGTTCACAGACCTATCACTTGTAGATTAACTGTTTTAAATCATTGAAATTTTCTTCTTTTGCAGTGGAATATTGGGCCTACTCATTCATACATAGCCACAGTCTGTGATATTGATAACAAACAGGAGGAACCAAAGAACTGGTTATGAACAAAATTTGTAGACATCAAGAATGCTACATGACTTGATATTGAAGTGATCTATACCCTCC